GACATGCAGATACTGTAGTGGTGCTGTGTAGTGGTGTAACAGATCACAAATCTCATAATTCAGATCACATTATGGTTTTAGTCACAGATCGGGAAATGTAATTTGCTTTCCATTTATTACATAAACAGTACCACAAGCAACGTTTGACAAACAGAATTTAGAAACTGTAAATTTATTAACAATAAAAAATAGAAATAGTCAACTAAATAGATTAAATTAAAATAATTAAATTAAAATAAACTGTAAAATATTCAGCGCTGTGAAAAATTCACTGTTACCTCTAATGTTGCTCATGATGCTAAATGTATAAATCTAACATTATAATTTATACAATGCATATTTATTTTTAGTCTCAGTTTTTCACTCATAAAACTTTCTAGATGTGTCATTTTTGAATAATTATTCAGTGGCTTATTTTTCTGTGCTGGTTGTTGCCACCTATTGATTAAATAATGTTATAGCTGCCTACGACTTTCATTTTGAGCGTGAAGGTAAATGCATATAGAACTATAATGCATATAGTTTTATAGAAACTGTAAACTGTTTTTTCCTGTACTTCTGTGTTATTTGACTGTAAGTTCATAACTAACTTTAAGCACTGAATCTTTTAGAATTAATAAACGTATGCAAATCACCATCATTTATAATTTATGTTGCGTGGGTGTTGAGATCCCGATCTTTAAAAGAATAATCGTGAAGTGATTATGGCAGTTGTTTAGCAGCGGTCTCTGAATATAACAAGCTTTTAATGGTAAAAAATATAAATTTTCTTTTTTATAATAACACTTCATAAAAGTAGTCTGCAGAAACTCTTTTTGTCATCAGAAGGGGAAGGTACCAGCCATTAGTGACGATCTCTCCCTCATTAGCATAGGACCTTAGTCTTGTTTTCGAATCTGCCACTATGCTGACACAGGCATTTGTAGCTCCACCTTCTTTTGAATAGAGGGCTGGGAGCACAATCTCACTTGAATTTAAAGTGACAGGCACCAAAATGGCACAATTAGGGTCAAAGCGAGTTATAAAACATAATTTGTGTAGTATTTTGAGCTAAACTTTACATACGCGCTCGAGTGGGACATCAGAGATTTACCTTACATTTTGTCAAAAGGGGCATAATGGGTCCCCTTTAAGGGAAATCATATTCAAATAATATCCCCTTCCTACATAAGTATGAAATCAAAATCTAAATGTCACACTTTTATTGCTTGAAAAGAAAGACTTACAAAACAAACTTACTGAGTTGTGGGTTAGATGCACTGGGAACCTAATTATAACACTTAAACATGGAGGAAAAAAGTCTGATTTTCCTGAAATGTCGTCTTTAATGTTGATGAACGTGACACAGGAGGAATGCTAATGCTATTTTTGTCATCTTCCTGACGGCCATATCATTTAATTGCCTTAAAAAAAGAGCATAAAAAATGTAAGTCATAATTTCATATTTATCATAATAGCCTCTGGCTGTGAGGAGGAAAAAGGAAACACTGTTTGTCCCGCCCTTTGCCCTCGTTAGAAGTCTCTCGGCTGCTCCGGCATCTCCTGATTATGAACAGAGGCTACCTAGGCTTGCAACTTCATTAAAATCTATTTAAATCAACTTCAACCGCAAAACGCTTCTTCCTCCAGCATGTAAAGAACGTAAAGTCTCAGGGAACATCATTAGGGAGAGTGTGAGCGCGCGCGTTATCCGTACCTGTGTTTTCTGTTTGGTCTAAGCGGTATGTATGTGCGCTAGTTTGGATAATAAGCTCCCTCACAAGTGTCAACACCCTCACCCTTGAATTATACCCATGTCACCCTAATGTGCCTGACAGCTGGAGCACCATCTCTTGCTTTCCTCTTGAACGCCTTGTTTTGTTCCTGGTTTCGCGATGAGTGCGTTCGCTCTACAAAGCGCCACACGCTTGCCCTTGGGCACTAGGCCCCGGCACCCTTGTCTCAAATAAGTATGTCACCCATGGGGAGGGGGGCCCTTGGATGACACCACACAAATCTGACTAAAAACGCTTCCTTTCGCAAATACGTCTACCTCTGAACTAACCCCCCTCATTATTTGTGACAAGACGCTCCTTGATTTGCGAAATGGTATCAGGGTTATCGTTGCGTTTGGAGTGCATTGGCAAGGCTGCGGGGTAGAAATGTGGATAAGGGGCTTGTTATTTATTTGGTGAGTTGGCAAAACTTAATTATGGATGATTTGGAAATGCTGCAGCGTGCGTTAATATGTAATTGTGTGTGATAATGACAATATCAGGGTTCATACACTCATGAAAAACCTGGAAAAGTCATGGAGTTTTGGCATTTTCCTGGCCTGGAAAAGTTTTGGAAAAACCGAAAAACCCACAAAGTTTTGGAAAAGTCATGAAAAACAAATATCTGTATTCTTGAATATAGGTTACAGTGTTTGCTCTAGGATTTTTTCCAGCTGTGGCAGCAGGCCTTTTGCACAGATCTATCAACTACCCATGGTGTTATTTTACTGACAAATGTCATGTGCGTAGTATTAAGGCTGATTTATACTTCTGCATCAAGCGCACGCGTATGCTACGGCGTTGACGCATAGCCCTACGCCGTGGCCATCAGCATCGCTGACGTGCACCTCTCAAAAAAAATGTAACTACATGTCGCAACGACGCTTAACGCAAGCTCTGTGATTGGTTGGCTTGGTAGCGCTGACAAGTCTGGGCGGGACTGAGAGCGGGGCAAGTAACCTGAGCCCAATGGAGCGATTGTTTACAAGTTCAGAGTCCCGTGAAGGAGCTCCGGATGGAAAGTTTCGTTTTGTGTTTACCTCATAGTTAAAGTTGTTGCACGTCCGCCGGTTCCTGCCTCAAAATGAGCAAGTTTGAGCCAGTTTTACATTCAGGAAGCGTTCAGAAAGAACAAAACAGCAGCGAAGAAACTCGACACAGAGACGCATTTACACCTCACTGCCAACTAGCGTTTTGGAAGTGGTATTGCAGACCAACAGAGACAGCGCGCAGAAGTATAAATGCACAGCTACGTGCGTTGCATGCGCCGTTGGTTACACTGGTCACTTAACGCAGAAGTTTAAACCAGGCTTTACAAGTCGAAATCGCATTTATGTAATACGAGCATGCAAATCTCTTTGCTCGCATGCCAATTTCCTCTGTTTGTGCACAAAACATCTTGCACGTCCTCAAATATACACTGCTAAAGTGTAGATTTTCTTGTGTGCTCTCAAATAAACACTGCTGAAGCGCAATTTAGCGCGTTTATGTAGTAAATATGTCTCCAACATTTATTAGATTGGCTAGGAATATTTATGAATGTCTCCAATAGACCTACAGAGCTGCATTAATGTATCCTAAAGTAAAGTGAAATGGCTCCAGCAGGATAAAGTCTTTGTTTGTTGTATGCAGAACTATAAACTTCTATCTATAAATAACGTATAATTATGGAAACTGTGTTCATCCTAACTGAAAGCTACGTTGTGTTTGCTGGCCTCACGCATCACACACCTGTCTGTCAGCTTGTCACTTTAAAGGGTTAAACAAATAACTCACAGCACTACTACAGTTACAGAAAAGTTAGCGCTGTTATAATTCACTTACCTTTTAATATGTTTTGGTGTGATTTTAACTCAATAAAAACCGACAGAATGTTTTAATTAAGAAGCTGTAATGCAGCTGTGGTGGGAGATGCATTGCTCAGGTGTGAGTTTTTCACATACTTCAACAGAGTGTACAAATCTTGAAGGTTCTGTAGGTTTCGTCTGTCAAATCTGATCTTTATTTTTCATTCTCTATTGGATTTAAGTCAGGTGATTGGCTGGGCCATTCTACAGCTTGATTTTCTTTTTCAGAAACCATTTGAGAGTTTCCTTGGATGTATTTTAACTCATCAGCCATGTTTTTATCCACCTATTTGTTATATATATATAAAAAAAACAGTTGACAGAAACGCCAAGCTGCGCCTAAGTTTTTTTAAAATGTGCATTAAAACCGTATGTGCATAACTGAGTAGGTTAAACTTTTTATTCGATAAGAAAAGATGCACATAAACTACGATGGAAACACTTTTACCAAACAAATTCTAGTATGTGCATTAAAAAAAGTCATGTGATTTTTGTTATAAGAGATCATGTGATGATAAAAATGTGTGTGAATGGACAAACCAGCAGGCTGAGCATGCTGTGAAACATCTGAAATGTTGTTTTTGTCATTCTAAAACGCCTTAACCATCTCAGTATTAGTGTTATTATATAGTTATGTACCTCTAGAATCAAAAGCGTCTGAGCTTCGTGTCTCACGCTTTTACACGCCACCACATGTTCATTGCATGTCGGCATTTCTGAGGTGCAAGTTATTTATAAAGAAAAAATTCATGCAGCTTCTCCAACAGCAGAAAATTCCAGATTTTTTTTGTTGTTGCACATTTTGCTTTTAATATATGGCGCCAGATAATCAGAAAGTGACAATTTTATTCTCTTTGATTCGTTGGATGGAAGTGCTGCACATCTTTTATGCGATATTCCTGTTTTTTTCGCATAAATTTAATTTGTATCTTTGGATGGAAACGTTGTCAGTGTCTTGCTGAAATGTCCACCCTGGTTTCATATTCATCATCCTGGTAATGTAGATGTTGGACTGAAGCAGGTAATTTTAATTTACACAGACGAGAGGCAAAGGGTCTCTGAATAACTCCTGAGAGATTTCAGTTGCTGTCTGGGCGTTCACTGCTTTCTACACCTCCCTTTCTTCATGTGTTCAATTCGTTTTTTCTGTTTCGTTTCATTTTATTACACATAACTTAATTTGTAAATTAATTAGATTTGTTTTCTTTTCATATATGGATTTCTTTAAACGTTATCAACATCTGGTGAAAATTTCAGGTCAGCAGCACCATTAAAAATAAGGAAAAATGATGTGTTTAATACTTACTTGCCCCACTGTATATATGTGTGTACATGTGACTGATTAAATTAAGCCCCCTAAATCAAATCATATTTTCACTCTTCTGTTTTGTCTTAACAGGACACTACTTGCTCATCTAGAAATGGGGAGGTTTGGCATTGGTTTCGAGGAGTTCTGCACTCATCTGCAGTTGTACAACACATACATTGACAACATCCAAACGGCTAAGAAGGTCCTCATGGTGAGTTCAGTCTTTATATGTTAGACCTGACCCCTTTTTTCACCTCCGTTAACAGCATTTGGCATTGACCACCATACATTCACATTGGACTCTTTGTGTTGCACAGCCTTGAGTAATGACAGTGTGAACATGGCTATAAATTAGTTATTATGAGCATGCATTCCTCTTTGAAAGTAGTCTAATCATTTGCTATTAAAGTAGCACATAGGTCCCCTATCCTGGCCTTTCCAGAGAAAATCCATTCTTTTACCTGCATAGAGGTCATCTGGAATAAAGCTGGTGGCTGTGTCTATCAATATGAATTCATGAATATGTATTCATTATAGATCTATGGTAATGCACCGGATTGACAGTATGTCATGCTCCACTTCTAATTAGTCCAAACCGATTAAGTCATTGTACAACTCCTCATCCATGGCACCTTTTTTCCCCCTACTGCTGTACCATATTGTTCAGCTCAACCTTGTGGGAAGAATGAGAAAAAAAATAGAAAAGAAGACACAATGTCGGGTCAGTAACTCAAAGATCGCCATTCAAAATGATTGACGTCTGGAATGGTGAAAAAAATGGAGTCACCTACCTGATTAAGGCTTATGGATGACACTCTGTGCAAACAGATCTCTCCTAGGCAAAGCCCAGCGGTACCATTAGGTCCAACACTACCATCTCATTACGCCTGACTTAAGTGGGCAGCCTCCATCAGTCGGCCGGAAAAAAGTGCGATGGGGAATCTCTCTCTTTGCTAATTAGCTCCTCCCTCGGCAAGGCACCTGTACCCAAGTGTACGGATGACTGATTCCTTGTTAGACCGAATCAGTTAGCGGTTAAAGAATCATCGGTGCGGCAGGCTAATGCTAAAGTCTGCGTTCTGTTCATTTACGGTGAACTGAGGGGGCGTTTTTAAAATGTTTCGTAGACGTACTATCCCAGTAATTGTGTCTGATGCTGAATATACAGTGGGGGTCATAATTAGAGAACAACCTATCATTTTCTAAATTGCAAGGTGACTGCTTGGTTCTATTTGAAATGAGCCTAAATTCAGTTTTTCGTGAGTTACATCATTTCTGAGAAACGAGAAGTGAGATATTTAAGAAACAACACTGATCGAAATGAGCAAACACTTTCAGATATCTCACAGTTAGTGGTGTTGTTTTCTGTTTATCTGACAAAGCCTATTGAACTATCAGCTGAACTTTCCAGTTTTCACTGACTTTGCAAGAAAGTGAGCAGTGGTGGTGTATTACAGAAACATCCTAACATTTAAATCATCCTATTTGTTTGGTTAATTTCAGTTAGGATCACATTTTGGACAAAAGCTATTATACGTATACTACCATTTTCTGTGCGTTTTTCCTATTTTGACTACAGATAGGAAAGATGTATTACAGAAACATCATAACCTGACAAAAAAATATTAAAAACACTTAACTTTAGGGCAAATGCCAGACAGCTATCCTAGCTTTAACATATGAAAGCTATTGAAAACATTTGACATTGCAGTTACTGATGATTGAAAAGGAAGACCAAAGATGTTTAATGGTAGAAAGACTCTTAGAGAATCTTGAAGGTGCGAAGATCCTGAAGACTCCATGCAATATATTACAGTTAACACAGAAACTGCAAGCAGCATTACAACGCATTATGGAGTATTACATACTTTTCGTCTATTTTGTTTAGACCAGAGATGCCCATGCTAAGGCTTGTGAGCCAAAAATGGCCCATGGTAACCTATGATTTGGCCTGCCATCCTATCTGAGAACAGATGGAGAATGATGGGGATGATTTCAAGATATCAGTTCAAATTAAATGTAAACTTTTGTTTGTTGAAATCTGGAATAAAATGTTTCGATTAAATGGTCTAAATTAAGATTTTGTTTAAATGTACATACTGTGACCTGACAATGCAGACTAAGCAGATTCTGCCTGACCACGTATTCGGCATTAAGCTCCGCTGTGTTATAAATGTGATTTTTAATGTTTTGTTTGCAACAATTTATCATTTAAAAAGTTATACTGCATTAGTAATATGATTTAAAGTAAGGGTTTCAATTTATTTTGAAATATTATTAATAATTAGGAAATTAACTATGATAACTTTAATCTGATGTAGTTTAGTCTATTTACCTTCGGCCCACGGCTCTTAATGATATTTAATTTTTTGCCCTTCATACGAAAACGGATTAGACTAACTCATAAGTTCAGTTTTATATTGATGAGTTATTGTAAATTGCTAAAACGAACTCAAAATTTAGTTCGAAATTATGTAATTTTAGTTCAATCTTAGATTTATTTTAATTTACACCAGGCCTTAAGATGAGAAACTTTCTCTAGTGTGTACCATTTTATAAAGTGACTGAAACTGTCAGGTTCTCCAAATAAAGGCCGAAAGAATGAGCTTTTTAGTCATAGCAAGAGAAGTTGGTCGTTCCAAAGCTGTGATTTCTAGAATATTGCATATTTTTTATAATAGCCCAATCTCGTTCAAGTTCTGTTGTTTTATGGTTTTCCATGAAAGACAAATGCATGAAAGGACAGGATGATGCAAAGAAGATGCGGAAATCATTGAAATAATGAATTGGCAGCCCAGAGTCCTAACCTAAACCTAATTGAAAATCTCTGAAAAGTCATTGAAGGCAAAGCTATTGCTAAGAAACATATTGTCAGCTGTAGATACAGCCTGTACACTTTAGACTTATTAATAATAACATACATTTTGGTTGTACTGTCTCTTTGGGCTACATTTATTTTTCCCTAATTTTAATCACTTTATTTTCCAGTCAATAAAGAGTTTTGTTGAAGTGCCTCGGTTATTTTGTCAAGCACAGTTTTACAAGCATGTTATAGTCACAACTTAAGTTCCTTTAAATATTTAATGATTAAGATTACATTTATTTCTTTAAAAAAAATCAAGTGTTTCTAAGTTTTTCTCTAATTTTGATCTCCACTGTGTGTTCAAGTGTTATCCTGGAAGCAAAGCCCCTCCATGCCTCGTCTGGCCGCATCTGGCTGTGTTTATCCGGGTAGAGCCTGGAGCCATGCAGATATTAATGTGTTAATTAAGAGCAGGAATATGTCTGTGGACGATTGACCGATTCTTATTGATTGCAGACTGAGCTGTTTAAGTTAGCATTGATTCCTCCACTAGACCTACATGGCGGTAATTGCTGGAACATGGGCAGATGTGTTTGCTTGTTCACATGATTCAAACATGGCTGGTCTGTCTTTCAGAATAGATTGTCACATGAAGCTGGCTGACAAAATGGAAATCTAAACTAGTTTATTTGCCATTTATGATCATATACTGTTTAGTTATTTTTATGCCGGTGTAAAACAAACACTGACATGCATGTATATCATGTTTTACAGATTGCAATCATTAATTGTCATTTTAATAATACATAGTCAAGCATATTTGACACAAGAAACTATTTAAATCTTGAAATCTTTTTTATTTGCCATTCCCCTTCAAACTAATAGGTTTTATCCAGCACAACATTTGGTATGAAAACTGATTATTTAATGAATTTTTATTCAAGTCAGAATTGTTTATAAGTATTAAAGTATACATTATTTAATTTATATTTTGAAACTTTATTTTTACTTTTAAGTTTTTTGAAGCATTTATTAGGGCAAGATATAATTTTTAGCATCTTTGATTTAATGAAATATCAATGTTTGCTTCAGTATTATTTGTTGAATCTATAATAATAATAATAATAAAATATATATATATATTAGGGATGCTTCATTTATGAGTTTTACAACCGAGTACCGATTCCTTGTCATGGTGATCGGCTGATACTGAGTATTGATTCTGATTATTCAAGCTTTACATAACTATACCATTGCATAAACATAATTATCCTATAAGTATGAGATCTGACCTTACCTAAGATAATGAATTTAGGATGTTGCATATGTACAGTAATGGTCAGAAGTAGCTTTACAAAAAGAAAACAGAAACAAATGGTTAGAAAAATGACTAATAATGCAATTTGGAAACATTGCTCATGTGTAAAATGTCCAAAATCCTCAGGGTAAAATGTACTCAGTTTAGAGAGTTTTTGGTCCCTATTTAAATAAGGGCAAACAGGTTGGTAATAAGTAAAGCTGCTGTTTGTGGAGTTGCTTAATGATCCTCTGCTGAGATTTTGAGAGATTCAATGTATTATGTTTCAGCTGATTTCATCTGGACTTTGACTGAAGTTGGTTATAGTTCTGTGTTTCTTTTTAGTTTTTTTTAATCAATCATCACCTAATTTAACCTTTCATTGTCTCGTTAACTTGAGTAACTTTAACTCAATTTAGAGAGGGACCAAATTCTATCTAATCTGAGTTAATTTTATTCAGAGGATTTTGCGGTTTGCATAACCCAGCCATAACCCGGATACATCTTTTTCTGCTAGTAAACTTTTTAACAAACACTTGTAATCGGTTTAGATCAGCCACATCCACAAGTACCGATTGATTCATGAAACATGATTATCGGCCGATACTGATCTCCGATACTGATACTGATCTATTTATTATTATTTTCTGTTGTTCATTTAGGTAGACCCAATTGTCCATTTAGTCTGTTTAACATTATTTAATGTTGCTTTTCTTGCCTTTAATATCTTTCTCACAATCTTTCCTAAAAAGGACAGGTTTTAATCTAAAATGGATTTACTGTATGTATTTTTGCTGCCCTTAATAACAGATTCCTCTCACAGTGTGTCTAGCATGTGGTGATTTAATGGCAGTGTGTTTCTCAGAGGGAGACTCCAGCTGCTCCGGCTGTAAATGTTACCCGAGCAGGTGTCGAACACGGTGTGCACCGTTTCAACATGATGAATTGTTTCATGCTCTTGATATGTTTATCTATTATTTACTCACACTACAAGCATGGCAAAAGAAAACTATGCTTTCCCCAGACGGAAGCTCAACAATTTTACATAAAGAAGTGATATTTTGTGGTAATGTCTCTCTGTCATTAGCCTGACATGGTGTGTGAATGTTTTAAATAATGGAAACCAGGCTTTCAGAAGACAGTTTATGATAATCGACAACGAAGATGTCTGGTTGTGCATGAATGAGATTCAATCTCAATACACAATTCAATAGACATCAAAATGTTGGTTGAGTATAAAGCGTGTTATCACTAGCATTATCAGATAAGCTCTGCAGTTGTATCTTTTTGTTTTCATGAAAGCAGATCTTTAATTCGCGGTTCATTTGCTTGGCAGGTTCAGGTGAAGAAAAGCAAAGCCTTCAGACGCTTTAAGAAGCTCCAGGAGTCGAGGCCTGAGTTCAGTCAGCAGAAGCTGGAGGATCTGCTTGAGCTTCCTCTTCAGCGCATACAGCAGTAAGTCGTCTAGTGTACATGTTTGATCATAATTTATTTTACAAGTGATGTTGATTGGATATCCGGATTGGATATAAGTATACTTAAGTGTTTTTTTTATTAATTTATTGGTAATTTGACAATATTCAATATTAAATTGTTCATTGGGATTTGCAACATTTAAATTTAGATCACTTTTGCCATCTCTTATAGCTTAGTTCTGTTTAAAAAAGCAATATTAACTAATTTTAAAATGCTTTAGCAAACCTTAAAGTTTAGTATATTTTTTCAGATTGTAGGTTATTTTGTAATTCCTGTTTTTTGTACTATTTTTATTGACCATTTATCTGTATTTATGATCATTTTGGCCAGTGTTACTTTTTGGTGGAGTTTTCAGTTGTAATTAGTGTGTTTTTTAATTTTTTAAATGTACATTAACCAGTATTGGAACCAGTATAATGCAAAGAAGATGCTGAAATCATTAAAATAATGAATAGGCAGCCCAGAGTCCTAACCTAAACCTGATTGAAAATCTCTGGAAACTCGTTAAAGACAAAGTTATTGCTAAGAAAGATACGTTCTAAGGAATATATCCAATATATTAATGTCTCTTTGGGCTATCCATTTCTCCTCTAATTTTTTTACATGTTCTTAACTTGTACATGCTTGTTTCCCCAATGTTTTTTTATATACTCTGTCTACATAAAACATATATATATATTTTAGTTGTAAGAACGTTTAAAATGTATATGAAATATAATGTAAATCTGATCAGTTATCTGGATTGGCATGACAATAATAATCAGCTTCTGGTGCATCCCAAGCTGGAAAGAAAAAAAAATAATATTAAATAAGTTTTTTTGTTGATATTTAGTTTTTGTTGTTTTACATTCTTCCAAATTAATGCTAATATTACATGATAATGAAATATAATAATGAAAAAAGAAAATTAAATCATTGATATAATAAAAAAGATTTCAATGGGATTTCTTTGTCCCTCTGAAAAGACCAACAAGGGGCTAAACTAAACTAAACTTTTTTTTTACATGAGTGTTCATATGAAACTTTATTTATCTTAATTATTAATTCATACTCCATTTGGTTATGGTATCGATGCAGAAATGACAGACTTCAGCTAAAAGTGTTTTGATTTCATACCATTTAATGGATTCCTCAACCACTTTCTGCAATTGACATGCAAACTTTTCTTTAATCTCATTAAATGTCCTCAAGCATTGAATTCAAGTAAACGAGATGGATTGGTCAGCGGATGTTTTTGTGTGTGTGTGTGTGTGTTTAAAGTTTAAACCATCTGCGCCGGTGAGGAGATTATTGGATCGACAGCGCTGAAATGCAGTCAGCTGTTTATTGCAATGTAAAGTGTTTTGGTTCTGCATCAGTATTTTCTGACACGGGCCAGTCTGCTTCACAGTCTGTCAAATCACTCCGCAAACTTCACATTTTGTTGATCATACTATGCGCGTTTTACTTTTAAAAGAAGGATTTTGGGGATTCATTTGATGGCATGATAACAGAAAGCTGTCACCGCCGGGTTACACTTTTCATGCTTGAATTCTCCATCCGTTTTTCCCCATGCTTTGGAGCCTCTCAATGACAGACGTAATTATTGTTTGATGTCGTGCTCACACCTGCCTTCAGACTGTCCAAGAACTGTCAAAATCCCTTTTGTTAAGCCGGCGAATTTGTTGGCTGTAATTTCATGCGGTCGTGGTCTCAGCCGTTAATTAGTGTAACAGGGTGCGAAATGAACTAGAACATGCTTAAGAACCAGCAAAAATTACATGGCATTCCTTTATCAAGCTGCTCGAGTCCATCTTAATTAGGCTTTTATGTCACTCCTACTTATTAAATGCAGTTTCCGGCATGAAAGAAGACAAACACAATGTCATTTCATTTTTTTGCTGTGATGATAATTATGTCTTTATATTTATTCTTTATAAGAACGTGGCTCTGTTTTTCGCCCACATGTTGTGGTTTTCATCAAGTCTTGTTTTATGTATAGGCCTTCTTTGTGTGGTTTTGGTGATTTGATTGTTAGAGGGTTTTTTTTTTTTTTTTTTTTTTTTTTCCAGGCTTAGAATTTGATTTTTGTCAGGGAAAGGTTGTCCTGATTCAAAACTACTCATCACTCACCATGCCAGCATGTTGCTACATGTTGATGTAGCATAAAAATAAAGGAAAATGTGTAAGAAAACCAGATTACATGCCCATATAAGGTAATATTATGTTGGGTGTTGTACTTCAAATAAATAAATATAGAACAATAAAATTATAGATATATAGGTAGAATAACAAAATGGATGGATGATTGGATAGATAGATGAATAGATGGATTGATAGAATGATAAATAGATGGATGGATAGGTAGATAGGTAGACGGACGGACGGAGCACAGCTGGTTTAAATGTTGTTGTTAGCAGTACTAGTAGTATAAATAGGAATAGTTGGTGGTGATGTTGATGATGATAATGATGATGATGATGATGATGATGATAATGATGATAATGATAATGGTAAAGATCTTTGCATTAAAGAATCATGACAGTCAACAACACTGAAGTTAAAATAAATTAAAAAATTTTAACTTATTTCAAGTTGTATAAGTGTTTAACGGTTTTCTCACTTTACAGATCAAATAAATGCAGCCTTGGTTCGCGAATAGATTTTCAAAAGCATGTTGAACAATTTGAACTTTTGAACGGTAGCATATTCCTGGACTAAATGGAAGTTTTAACATTTCAAACGTGCCTCTAGCGATTGACAAGAAACTACAGAATGCAATAACAATAATAATGTAAAGCTAAAGCAAAGCATTTACATTTTCAAGCTGCGAGTCGTACGACCACGTCACATCACATTTTGCAGTCCACCACTGAGCACTGACTAATTGTCCCAAACCACTATGTGCCCACAAACTCCCAAGAAGCCGTCCTTGGATGCATGGATGGATGGGTGAGTGTGTGGATGGATGGATGGATGGATGAATGGGTGGGTATGTCGATGTATGGATTAATTGATTGTCTTTGAAAACATTTTTCAAAGAAAAAAAAAATTAAAGTCTTTCCTAAGACTATTGAATGAATGTTAAATGTTATATATATTTTGGTTAAATTGCTGATTTTGCTTATAAAGTGATTGATTGACTGATTGATTGATTGATTTGATTTGATTTGATTGATTGATTGATTGATTGATTGATTGATTGATTGATTGATTGATTGATTGATTGATTGATTGATTGATTGATTGATTGATTGACATTTTTTCACATGTTTTGAATAATTATTTATCCAGTAACAATAAATTGAACTGATCAAACGGGACAAAGGCATTTGTAACATTACCAAAAAAGCTAATACATGCTATTTTTTTGGCTTTTTGATTCTTCAAAGTATGTGTCATATAGTAAATATTAATAATATAAATTGGGGAGCAGATAAAAATTTGAACTTGTGGCTAACTCTGGCTTATTTTTAGTTTCACTGTTGATTAATGATCATTGTCCCTTTTAGATAAAACAAACAAATAAATAAATAAAAGTAATAATCACAGCTGGTTTAAACATTGTTATTATTGTTAGCAATACTAGTAGTATACTATAGGAACTGTTAGTGATGATGATAATAGTATAGGAATAATGCTAATTATTTGAGTATCAAAGCAATCTTCTCATCAAAGGATCATGCGACAGTCAACACTGAAGTTAAAATATATGTAAAAACAAAAATTAATTATAGCAAGTTGTAAACATTTAACATTGTTACCACTTCACCAATCAAATAAAAGTAGCCTCGAGAAAAGGCTTTTAAAAACACTACAAAATGATTAAACTGATGAATGTTTAGCATATTTTTGGACTTTGATATTTTTAACATTCCAATCATGCTTTAAAAGAGATGGTGGTTTACAAGAAAGTAGGCACTTCTACAGATTATTCATGCTATTTCAACTAAAGCAGTAAGATCACATACATGTTCAAGTTGCGATTCGTACAACTGCATCACTTGACATTTCGCAGTCCACCATTGAGCACTGACCAATTGCCCCAAACCACTATGTGCCCACAAACTCCCAAGAAGCCGTCCTTCAGAAAGCACGCAACATATACTTTCCAATCTGTTTTAGTCACACAGCAAACAGCAAGACTTCATTGCCTCCCCCAGACGTTCCTCTACCCAGTTATCTTCATCCTCCTCTAATTTCCCCGGGAAATGTCGAAGCTCACACGTCTCAATCAGCATGTTCAAAGACGCCCTTGATCTAAACTCATCCTCTCAGGCCCTGATCACCGTGTTTCGCCATTGTCCCGCCATCGATTCCTGGCTCCGCGCTCTGGGAAGGCGAGGACACACAGGATCCGAATAATTGTATGATGATCTTAAGTGGCGCGGCAGAAGAGCTGCATTCTGGGAGAGTGCAGATAATCAGGAGCAGCGCCTCTAACGGGGGAAATTGTTGTCACTTATTGGGCTGGAGGATGATGGATGGCGAGGATCATCATGGTGGCTGCTGAAGACGTGGAGCAGGACTTCAGGGAGGGAGGAGAAAATCAGGCCTGTTATTAAATGGCATTTACCGCAGCTGCATTTCTTGTCTCTCTCTCTCTCTCTCTCTCTGTCTCTCTCTTTCTGCTCCTGCACTCGTCCTCTTTGCGGTCCTCCTGACTGATGATGGATGTTAAGTCGAGTGCTGCAGAGATGAATAAAGCTTCGATATTGAGATTCTAGGTGATTATCGATGAGCCGATAGATGATTTAGTTTTTTTATTCTGCAAAGTTCTTTGTCTCTTAAGATGTGAAATTATTTTTGAAGTAATTTTAATTGGATAGTTGAATGAAAAAAATGTATTTATACAATTAGATATTCACTAATCTGTCCATGTTACTTTTTGTCTCTTGGTAATCAATCGTTCTCTCATTGGCTGTCATTTTATCTGTCTGTCCGTCCATCCATCCGTCCATCCATTTGTCCGTCCATCCGTCCATCAAAATATCCATCCA